CATTAGTGCCTTCGACCGACGCTTTTTATTATTTTTATATCAGACACCTTATACCAGCATGTTTACATACCAATCGAATGAAACCACGATCAGATTCTCTCCCCGTATAAGCAGAATGCTTGTCTGTTGGCGGGGTCGGTTGCACATTGGCACTGTTGCCAGCTAATGATTTTCGTTCTTTTTAACGAGTACCAGTGTCGTCTACATGATCGCCTCTTGCCTGTACAAGGCTGCTATGACTTGAGTCGAGGAGCCGAAACGATCTGCAAGTTGTCTGCAAGCGTTGAACGGATTATCAGTCAACCTGCGACCGGCATCGACTTCAGCTTACGTGCCAGCAAGGAGTCGAAGTCTCTCCATCCAGGGGAGAGCCTTCCGTTGGCGACAGAAAATATGGAAGAACAAACAAGCCAGGCCTCGAGACCTATGTGAGGCAGTTCGTTGGTCCGATAAAACATCATCGTTCGGACTGAATATCACGTCTTGATACTCCCAAATAATATCTGAAGAGTAATTACAGGAGTTGAGTCCAGATATCTGCGACAGATGTACGCAATTTCTCCTTCAATAGGACAATCTGTAAGAGATTCTGAAAGAGATCGCAGTGATATATATTACTGATGTCGTTGATCTAGACAGAACGTTGAATATCTTTGTCACTGTTCCGTAAGATGATATACAGAGGTATCTCTTGAGCCTCACGCTCCGCAGTCCTTGTCGTTCCGACTCGTCCCTGTCGTGACCACAGAGGACTTTCGGCAGGCAATGTTTCTGTGCTCTTTCACGTAACGGCTTAGTGGGGTGTCAGCGAATTTCCACTGCAAGTACGAAGACAGGACTATCTCCGAGCATCTCTTGTAATCCTGAACTTCTCGAACTGCCGGTCTCTGCCGTTTCGTACTTGTGCCTAGGCCGCACGAAGCAGGAGACGGGTCATGGCGAGATAAATGAACTACACGCGCTTGTAATGAGTCCGAAATCTGTTTCAACGAGTCAATATAACACACCACATGATTTGAAACTGCCTGTGGATATGATCTTAGGGTCGTACCTGGTGATACTTGAATCAAATGAGACGAGCCTTGTCATTGGGGCATGCTGCCAAGTTCTAGAACCAGATTAGTTGTATCTGCCCAGGGTATCCAGATATGATTGGAGTCAAAATAAACACATCAGAGTTTCCTGTCCTGGTTTGATTATATACGTATCATTTATCCTGACCAGTTTTTGAGCCTCTCAATACGAACGGCGTAATTAAAAGCAGGGCGTCAAGGAGAAGAGGGATAGCGTGCGACGTGAGATAATGATTAAAAATCAGTATACATTTCAAGGTTGTGCTCTGATCATTGGTGAGAAGGGCAGCTGGTGAACGCTGCACAATGAGCCGACAACAGGCCGCACGCGCCACGGTGAAGCGGTAAACAGTCATAAAAATACGCAAAGTTCATTGAAAGGCCAGCAAATCATTTGCCAGAGAAGGTGTATAACATAGAATCGCTGACGTTCGACACAGTTTGTGTCCTTTTTTGTTATCAATACCAGTTTTCCGCAAGGATCCAGGAAACTTTTCGATTGCGACGCGACGCATACTGGGACGAAAACGATAGTTAGGGTAAGGGAGGACAACAAGCACCTCGGTGTAATTCGTACTTTTCGCGAATTGGAGCTCTCGGCACCTCGCAGGGGCAAGCAGTCTTAAAGGGATGATGAGTGTTGGGCTTGGGAGGAACGCGTAGCGGCCCGAATTATACCGAGGTCCGACAGCGAAAAACGGGCCGGAAATCGAAGTTCTTCTTCAACTTGTTCCACCACCTTCGCGTATCGGAGCATAGTAACTATCTCGATCCTGGCAGTGGCACACACAAAGGATCTGTTATTGCCACACGAATGACGTTCTCCACACCGCAACCGTCAGACGGCGTCAAGACTCAGAGCGACCATCTGCTGGCTGCAAAGGGAGCTCGTCCAATAGGCCTGATGAGGGTCGGACAAGAATCGAAGAGCAGTCATACAGAGAAGCTCTGAATGCACCCGCTGGAGCGCTTTCAACGGACGTTCCCCAGGTATCCCAGGTATCCCAGGGTTTCTGTTTCGGGTCTATTGGATCGTTCTTTATGACGGACATCAATCGCAAACTTGGTTGAATATTTCCAACGTTCCTCGAGGGCAATGTTGGTGTTTTTTCGTGATAATCTGTGCGAATAGCCATTGATTTACGGACCCCATCTTTCGGGCATCTCCGAGTCCACAACGTGTGTAGAAGAACATCATAGTGTTGTAACGCACAAACTGCGCCCGGGTGTTGATCTCCTCTCAGATTTAGGCGTCACCGAACGCATGATGGTCGACGAACTTCGGTGCCATGCTACCCCAAGTGATCCGCGTCTGGGGTACCCGAATTTGTCTGCGATGCGAGTTGCTAGCGTTGGTCTTACTCTACACCTCTCTATGATGTTGTAACTCGTCTCACTGAGCTTGGAAAGGCGGGGCGTATCGGCTCCGCCTGCGCCTCCGTTCTTGATCTACAACTGCTGGCCGATCTATTGACGTCCTGGGGATACCCTTCGGGAAACAGCCTATGCTTTCTAACTGCATCTATCCTTGCCATGCGGGTCTATTACTTCCTTGACGCTGACGACTCAAGGAAGCAGGATTCCTGCCCACTTGATTTTCCCGAATTCCTCCGATGTGCTAGATAATAGAGCCATCTCCTCGTTCCTCGAAGACATCCTCTTGTCGATCTTCCAATTCCTGAAACTCCCGGTAGCATTTCTCAGAACTGCTACCCTGGTTATATATCACATTGGCCGTTACTCGGTCTGCGTGTTGCATCCAAGCATGAAGATTAATCAACGTGCTGGGTGCAGTTATGTGTCTTAATACGATGTCACGAACTTCCACTCATATTCCACCGTCAGGCAGTAGTTGCAAAACGAGTCAAGATGGTATGGGGTTACAAGTCGTTCTAAGCCAGGGTCGTCCTTATTTTCTGAGAAGAATAGCCCTTCCTTCGGTTACAATGGCTCGCGGCGACTGTTCACGCATGGAAGATGGAAGGAAGGTACTCTCTCCCGCAAGGAATACCTCGAAGATCGAGGAGTGTTAGCCGACAGGAGACCCAGGCCCTTTGTCAGTGTCTTCTCAGTTCTTTCGTATGTGCATACCTTGGTCGTATATCTATGCATAGACTGAGAATGGCTTCATTCGAAAGTCTCAAACAATGATGTGGTATTCATCGAAACGACAGTACAAATTAGAGGGCAAAATCAAGCACTAATCTATTCAGAGTTGAAGGCGTAAAGGACATAAAATCGGGGGTCATTTTGAAGCATCAATGTGGTTGTAGAAGAATGGAAGGAAGAAGTCGAATGGCCTGCGAGAATCAAGCAACTTGGGACATGGGCGCATCCCTAGCCTTGGCCAGAGGCAGGGTATTTTCTCTCAGTCCTCTCAATGCGGAGAAGGACACAATCGCCGAAATAAGAGTGAACAAGAACGCGAACCAAGGGATGACGCCGAACCAGAGGACTGGCAAAAAGATGAGCCTCAACGATACAATACTGCCGGGATACAAGACTTACTGAAGTGAATGTGCCTGTATAGAGGGTTGACTCCAAGCGATGCTGCCGCTTCGAGGAGCGTCTCTGTGGGGACAGCGACACCATCTTTCCATCCCCAGATCTCTACACCCTTTCTGCGCACCGCGTCAGATACCGGAATCTGGCAAGCGAACAGTGCGACGGTAAGGAACGTGAAGACGTATGCGTGAAGGGTAATAGACTTTCTGCTCGTAGCACCTGAGCCGACGAACAAACTAATGACGGCGGCGAGGGAGTACAGGGCCGTGATCACACAGAAAACTTCGGAAGCTATAGCAGGATGGACGACACCTATACTCTCACATTTAGTTTGGGTGGGAGTTTACGAGATATTGAACCTACTGTTCGTAACGAGTCTCAGAGTGATTCCAAGGGGTGCGACTGATCTCCGGAGGAACGACTTGAGCTGGTTCTGCTTCACTACCGTATTGAGACCGATGGAAAGGCTGATAGCGCCCCACGCGAATGCCATGGTGTACGCCCCCATACGAGCAAGAAAGAGCGGTGCTGGTGTGGGTCCCATTTCGATACGGTAGTAGGAAGTCAATGATTAGGCAGCCGCCCCACAGCTTTTATATGCCAGAGAGACCTATGGGGAGCGGGTAAAACGTTCTGGACAGTCGAAACAAACGGTCGAGAATGCGGGGGCGAGTGAGTGATAACCGGAGCCCAACTACAGGCCGGGAAAAAAGGTCGTTCATCTATCCAAAAGTAAGGTAATTTTGCAAGGTTTTGGTTATATCGTGGTTCTTTCTATGGGGAGATAAGAGTATAGTTCACGGTATTCGAAATGGACGCTTGCTCGTGCCCCAGTCGTCCTCCAAACTTCGTTGCCGCTGCACTACGAAGTCGCGTTAGAGTTGCGGCGACCCCAGGTGAACGGGCCTGGAAGGCTGGAACCGAAGAGTTATCTGAAGAACAGAGTCGTCGCAGGCTTTATGGACATCTCTGGTGACAATTGGGAACATGTAATATTCGGATAGCTTACTGATACGCAACCGAGTGGAATTGGAGTAGTATTGGAGTGGAAGCATCCGAGCCGACAAGTCTTCATGATCATAATGAGCGCTTTCGCCTGCATTTCAGGAACCTTTTAGTAAGGATCATTTTGGACTCTTTCAAAAGTCGGAAGATCTTGATACAAGGTGACAGATTGAACGAATGGCAGGTACGTACCGTACAGCGCAAGTACTATGATGAACATTTCGAGATAGTAGTTAGTGAGTCGGTCATAGGGTAAGTTGAGACATATGAATCCGTATGGACGGGGGGAGGCAGTAAGTTAGGTCGCCGCCGGTGTTGATATATCGCTTGCATGGGATTGCAATCCATCGACCACTCAGAGACCTAAATAGACACAGCAGTAGAAATAAGTACATAACAAGCCAACCACCACTATGTGCCCCCGTTGTCTAATGGTTATGACGTCAGACTTCTATCCTCGAAGTATAAGTGGATTGATCTGGAGGTTGCGGGTTCGAGTCCCGCCGGGGGTTCTTATGACCTTGACCTGGGTTTTTGAACGATTGGACTAATGTTCCGGAATGGCGGGTTGCCGGCTTGCGAACGAAGCCGGGAAACCCTAGGTCTAGAAACACCAAGGTTTTGGACTGCCGTAGGGATACTCAACAAGGTAACTCATTGTAATGTCAATTAAGCAGCAACATCACTTGGATTTGTGTTTCATTAAAATGTAAACAAAGCACTGGGGCGATGTTGAGTGAATATACATCAGGAAGTAGGAAAGCATGCAAAATGACACACAATAGAGTCAGTAACGGTAAGAAGTTATCGTATCAGAACGCTCCCCTTGAGGAGGGGCCAGAAAAAAACGGTATGTTACCCATGCTGGGGGTTATTTCGTCCGAAGGTTGTGATGACGAATCCAGCACAATCGGCAAGTCACTCGTCCCACTCCGCCCGATCTGTCCTATTTTGCCGTACGCTACAGCCGAAGTACAGCATGCTCACAACATGTAGTCAGCGCGTCTTTTCCAGATAGGCTATGATTTAGTGACGAGTGGCCTGGTATGTGGGATCAGGACCACTGTGATGCAGATTAAAAAGCGTCTTAATAAGTTGCGTATGCATTTCGACACTTCAGAGGAGTGTATAAATTGATGAAGTCCTTTGTCCCTTCTCGAAGATGAAGCCTCGCCGAGGTAAGTAGCAAGGAAAATGGAGCACACATTTAATCCGAACCAGATCACTTAAGAGTCGACTTAAAGAGAGAATGCTTTGTATTTCCACCAAGCGCACCAGCACTGTGATTATATTGGATAAGTAAGGGGGATCTCTTTCTACCCGGGGTCTCGCCCTCTAGAAAACCATGGACGCCATGGCAGCCAAAACAATACCAACCAAGCCCACCTCGATTCTGGAAGCACCGTCGGTAGCAAGGGTGACACCAAACTTAGAACAGGTAGCACCGTATTCTGCGGCGGAAGAAAAAGGGTGGTGAGTCAATGATGCATCATTCAGCGACGGAACGCACGAGCGATAACAGCTTTGCCGATGTCACTGGTAATATTCCCTTGGGTGACTACGCAGTTCACGCAGGATGCGATTGACTGATCCGTCTGATTGTCGCACATGCACTCCGTTGTCGAACAGTTCTGGTTGACGCTGTTAGGCGAGATGCATCAGAATCGGAGCCGAGAGATGCGACTTACACTGAGATACGTGATCACAGATTGTGTGCAGTTCGCGGAACATACCGACGGGATTGAGGATTGAGGAAGTTCCGTCAGGTTCTTAGTTGATTGACGAGCGGCCAGGTAGATATGCGGAGACGCCAGGTCATAGAATTGGTGGGAGAGGGCTAGATGGACACATAAGCACAGGTATAGAAAGCCGGGATAACAACGGACCGCCTGGGAGGGCCAAGATGAGGGCAAAAAGGAATGAAAATGCCAGCATGACGAAAGGACGAAGGTTTGAAAGAAAGAAATAGACCTCGCAGAGGCAAAGAAAGTAAGAGAAGGTGGTGGTGGTGCTGGTGGTAAAAGACAAAGAGCGTGGTGATGGTCGACACGGGGGTATTATCAGCCGCTTGCATCAGTTTAGCCATCACCAGGCTAAAATTATATCTTGACCATTGTAGGAAAAGCGCAGCAGCAGTGAAACAGCAGTGATGGTTACAAAGGAATCTGCTAATTTAAAGAGGTCCGTGGGAGTAGAGGATATGGGTCAGAGCAATTTTATTGCTGCGGATAATCGAGGTTACAAAGAGCCTGAGGTGACAGTCGTTTAGTAGAGAGCAGTTGCCCGTGATAGCATCAGCGTCGAGGATTATGAAGGCAGTTACCATGCGAACATCAAGGAACACGTAGGCGGCCCACTAGAGGTAAAAGCATAGATGTGGCGCAGACTCCAACTTCAGTACATGCGCTAAATGTGAGGCTGTTGAATGCCATGTACGGAGACTATTGAAAGTTCGAAAGGAAAGATTGGGGAACGGAATCTGATAGCCTGGTTTCAACTTCTAGTAAGCCAGGAAGATGGCACTGGCTAAAAGGAAGTGGGGAGTGGCCAAGAGTGTTTTTCGAGTGTTTTCGACAATTCAAACGACCTATCTCCCCATCGGGCCGCACGCGTGGAGGGAAAAGGAAACCCTAACCAGATAGTGACGGAGCTTGAAATACCAATTTTGGGAATTAATCACGCTGACGACATCTGTCACATTAGGCCCTCATCATCCTTGACCTAAACCACCATCCTCCCTATAACGCGTCGAGGGCGACGACTCTCACCCTTTGGGACTCCGACTCCGACAACCACAGGAAGCGAACCAAACTTCTTTTTAAAAATTGCCCCGCCCCTCAATTTTCAATATGGCGGGAAAACCCAACAAACTCGCCTTCTTGTCTATGCCTGCGCCGGCATCGTATGTCGCTGGTCTTGGGCGTGGGTACGTCCGTATTATCTTCACAATTGATGCATTTTAACACACTCTCAGTGCTTCTGGGTTTACGACACGATCTGATATTGGTCCGGCACGGGAGGGGCCCAGTGCTGAGGTTATTGCGTACGCCGGGTCGTTTTCATCTCGAAATGTTACTCATTATCTTTTAGTGAAGCCCAAGCTCGACGCGGCGAAGAGGCAGAGGTGGATCCTGACCAATTCCAGGATCCTGACAACGAATACGGCCTCTTTGCCGGCACTACATACGAAGCAGATGACGAGGAGGCGGATCGGATCTATGAAAAGGTCGACGAAGCTATGGACGCGAGGAGAAAAGCACGGAGGTAGGGAATTCAACTTGATCAGTATTCTCCTCGTCCTGACTTACTGTTCAGGGAAGCACAGGAGCAGCTTGAAATGGCGAAGCACCGGGCGGAGCGTCCAAAAATTCAAGCTCAATTTGCCGATTTGAAACGAGGACTGACAGCGGTTACTGATGCCGAGTGGGAAGGTATACCGGAAGTTGGCAACTTGACGCGCAAGAAACGGAAAACCGAGGGGAGAACCTACGTTGTTCCGGATAGTATACTGGTGGGAGATAGAGAGAGAGGAGGTATAGGGAATGTCGTCCAAGACGGGCAGGAAACCCCTGCGAATGCTGGTACTCTGACCAACTTTGTGGAAATTGGCCAAGCAAGAGACAAAATATTATCGTTAAAGCTGGATCAGGTTTGTCCTTTTTTTTCTACTCAAGAATGAGCCTCATATTTTCTTACAGATATCCGGTACTGCTACTTCTCTCGGCGCCTCCGGAACGTCCACTTCCATCGACCCTAAAGGTTACCTCACCTCTCTTGACAGCGTCCAACTGAAATCTTCCGCCGAGATCGGCGACATCAAGCGTGCGCGCATGCTCTTCGATTCCCTGGTAAAGTCAAATCCAAAGCATGCTCCTGGGTGGATCGCTGCAGCATGTTTAGAGGAACATGCTGGTCGTATGGTCGCCGCGAGGAAGCTCATCCGTGAAGGATGCGAACGATGCCCCGCCAGTGAGGATGTGTGGTTGGAAGCGGCGAGGTTACATGTAAGTGAACGTTTATATTTGGTGGCATATCTAATCAGCTTTTCAGAGCAATGACGATGCCAAGGTGATACTAGCTAATGCTGTGCAACATGTCGGTCAGAGCGTCAAGATTTGGCTCGCTGCGGCGGATTTAGAAGGAGATGCTAAAGCGAAGAAGAGGGTGCTGAGAAAAGGTATTATTTTTGTTTCGCTGATGAACATTCCTCACCGTACCTTGCCTAGCCCTTGAACATATCCCCAACTCCGTTCGATTATGGAAGGAAACTGTCAACCTGGAGACTTCTGCCACAGATGCGCGTACCTTACTCTCCCGTGCCGTTGAAGTAATCCCGCTTTCGGTAGAGCTTTGGCTTGCCCTGGCGCGTATCGAGACACCTGATAAAGCAAAAGCTGTTTTGAATAAAGCACGTAAAGCGGTCCCGACGTCTCACGAGATATGGATCGCCGCTGGCCGCTTATTGGAGCAGGAGGCGGGTAAAAATGAAGATCCTGAGAAGAAGAAGAAAGAGATGGATACTGTGGATAAGACCATAGAGGCCGGCGTACGCGAGTTGCGGCGGCATCAGGTGCTGCTTACGCGAGAGCAGTGGCTGAAAGAGGCCGAACGGTGTGAGAGCGAGGGATCAGTGAGAACATGCGAGGCGATCGTTAAAGCTACGGTTGGCATGGAGCTCGAAAACGAGGACCGTTTGGATACGTGGATAGGTGACGCTGAGTCTGCTGAAGGGCGAGGAATGGTCGGTACCGCTCGAGCCATTTTGGCATATTCTCTGAAGGTGTATCCGGATAAACGTGCGCTGTGGCAACGTGCGGCAGACTTGGAAAAGACCCATGGCACCAGAGAGGGATTGGACGAGTTGCTAGGACGCGCCGTAGAGTGTTGCCCACAAGCAGAGGTTCTGTGGTTGATGGCTGCTAAGGAGAAGTGGCTTGCTGGAGATGTACCGGGGGCGAGAGGCGTCCTCGAGAGAGCATTCATAGCCAATCAAGAGAGCGAGCAGATCTGGCTTGCGGCTGTCAAACTTGAAGCGGAGAACGGTGAGACGGGTGTGGCGAGACAGCTGCTGGTCCGGGCGAGAGACGTTGCAGATACTCAGAGAGTTAGTGTAATAATTCTTCTTACTTCTCTGCTAATATTTCTTTCACAGATCTGGATGAAATCTGCCGTCTTTGAGCGACAGCAAGGACAGATCGATGAAGCGCTCAAGACTCTGTCTACCGCTCTCAAAAAGTTTCCCAAGTTTGCGAAGTTGTATATGGTACAGGGACAGATATACGAAGATCGAAATGACATCCCCTCCGCACGCGCGTCGTACGCTGCGGGGATCAAATCCTGTCCCAAGGAGCCGACACTCTGGATGCTAGCGAGCCGGCTGGAAGAAAAAGACGGCAAAAGTATAAAGGCCCGCGCCCTCTTAGAAAAGGCCCGGCAAGTCAATCCTGGAAACGAGTGGCTGTGGCTGGAATCTATTGGGGTGGAAGAGCGGTCCGGTGGCGGGGCCAGTCAG